TCTGTAGTCCCAGCTAAGGGGAGGTTGAGGTGAGAGGATCACCTGAGCCCAGGAGTTTAAGGCTGTAGTGTGCTATGATTGTGCCAGTGCACTCCAGCCTGGGTGGCAGAGTGAGACCCTGTCTCTAAAAAAAGTTTAAAGTTTAAATTTAAAAAAAGAAAAACGGAGCAGCTATGTTTATTTCTTCAGTCATGTCGACATACTTTATTGGGTAGAGCCCTAACTTAAGGACCACTGAGGCTCACTGCATTATCTTCCAGGCCCCCAAGTGGCCAACATCTGAAGAGTAGAATTGTTACTTCCAAAAGGGTCTCAAAGCGTTTGGCTAGCCCTCTATTGGAAACGGTGGTGTCTTCTCCGTAGATGTATGCAAACGTCAAGCTATTAAAACATAAACATACCGCCATGAAAGAGTCGTCTAATTCATCTGTATACGCAGAGCACTCTAGGGGCAGGTGAGTGTGAGAGCAAAGAGAGGCCTGGCCAGAGGGGCAGGATTGAGCTTCCAGAAGGCCCAGATGTCCACTGCAGTGAGGGGGCCGGGAGCGAGGTTGGAGAGCAACAGACAAATGAGGCCCTGGGACACTGTGTCTGTAACTCCATCTCTCAACTGGGATGACTGCCCTGTGCGGGTGCCAGGTCGTTCCTGCGGAATGGGGACAGAGGGCCCCTATGTCACATTTTAGTGGGTGGCCGCAGAAACGGACTGCTTTGTGGAGAGAATGAAGGTGATGATAATACCATACAAGAAGCTCATATAAGAAGCTTGGGAAGACGAGAATCAGGATCACATTCTCAAATAGCGCTGCTGAGGAGAGCCCTGGACACAGGTGGTCCCAACAAAGCCAGCAGCCAAATGCTCAAGCTCGAGCTATACAGAGAAAGGGCTGTATATGCAAAGCGGCCCCCAAATACTGAAGGAACCAAGAAACCAACGAATGGGCAGACAAATCTGGTTTATTGGTAAAGGGTGGTTTATAGAGGAACTTATAAATGGAGGTATGGTCTCAGGCAGCCGCAGTTAGACCTCGGCAGTGTGACTCCACAGACCCAGGGCTTATGCGCACCATAGGGGAAAGAGCGCATGTGCGCTATAGGCAGTTAAAGGCCTCCTCCCTCCAGAAGAGGCAAGAATGTTCTAGAATTATATGCTACAGCCCACACAGTTTGTGTGATGACATCAAGGTTGGCGTGTTCTTACACTAAGGACAATAAATAAAGTAGGAATCCAGAGGTATTCATGAGAGACTGGGACTAATCAAAAGTCAACATGGTGGATTACCATCCAAGATGGAGTCGATTTTGTCTCTACAGGTGGCCATGAAGAAACAGATTTTCTTCAGGATTTGAAGGAGCACTGTCATCAGGCCACAGATGGCAATAATACCTACCATGACCACTGAAATGTTGGCCATCATAATCAGATCTGGCCACATAATTCCTGAAGGTGATGGCCAGGCCACTGTGCAGAGCCATGGTACTAAAAACCATGGTAGCCAAGAAGCCCATGACAGGGGAATAAAAAGATGCATATTTAGATTTGGTTCCAGACCTGAGTGGATGTGAAAGGGTGAGTTCAGTGTGTGGAATACCCCAGAATGGGACAGACAGACACCACAATGTAGCAAGTCCGTGACCTCGCTGACTAGACCCATTTTAAATTGAATCATAATTTACACAAAATGCATAGATATTAAATAAAAATTCTGAGTTTTCATAATTATATACAGTCATATAACCATCAACCAACACAAGAACATTTCTGTTGCCCTGGAGAGTTTTTCATACCCCTTTCTAGTTAATCACCACATGTTCCTTTTCCCCCCACAGAGGCAGTCCCTGTTCTGATTTCTATCAGTGTAGATTAGTGTTGCCTGTTCTTGAATTTCATAAAAATGGAATCATATAGAATCTGTTCTTTCCTGCTGGCTTCTTTTGCTCAACATAGTATTTTTTGTGACTTATCCATGTTGTTGTATCAGTAGTTCATTCCCTTTTACCACTGAGTAGTATTTCTACATATGAATGTACCACAATTTGTTTATCCATTCTTCCATTGGGTTTTTTTTCCCAGTTCTTAGCTGCCATGCATAAAGCTAGTATGAACTTCCTTAAACAAGTCTTTTTGTGGAATAGCATTTCATTTCTCTTGGATTCATACCTAGGAGTAAAATGTTAACTCATATAATAAATACATTTAATTGTATAGAGACTGTTTTCCAAAGTCATTGTACCATTTTACACTTCACCAGCAAGGTTCGAGAGTTTCATTTGCTCCACATCCTTACCGACATCTGGTTTTATCAGTCTATTGGTATTGTCCGTTTTAGCCGTTGTAGTGAGTTACATTTTGTTTTGACAAAACAATTACAATGTCACAGACTTCTAGCACATGACACCTGCAGTAATTTTTCTACCTTGACTCTACAAATGATCTTAGCAAATGGAAGCTCATTACCCTTCATCGCTGTCACTTGCGTTGCCTATCACAGCATTACATCCAACAGAGAATTACTCGTTAAGTTGGTATGACTGGATATTTAATGATATTAAAGAATGTTGAAATTTGGAGGTGTGTTAATAGAATTGTGCTTATGTTTCTTTTTAAGCAATCATTTCGGAGATACACGCTGAAATATTTATGTGTGATATGCTAGATTTGTTCAAATAATTGGAGAAGAGAAGAAAGTGTCAGGAACTGCATGGCATTTGATGTTTTACCCAACTTGTAAGCTAAAATGTTAGCCTACCACAGTTTCATATAGGCTAGCAGAAGACATGAGAGTCCTGGGTCAGAAACAAAAGACTTTATTACTCACAGCAAAAGTAATAGCCAGAGTTTCATGTTCAGTTTTGTCTGTTTCCCATGTACCCCCAAATCCCAAGGAGATGATTCAAAGGGCTCATCATGCAGTGGGTTGCATTACAGGAGAGATACACTTAAGATTTACCACTCTTATGGCAAGTGAAAGCAAGCCTGCTTTTTTTTTCCTGGGGAAGATGTTACCTCATCCCTCAAGGTTGCTCACAAGGATGCAAACACAACCCAGAAGTGGCCCAGGTAAAGAGCAGTCAAGGGATTGTATTCTTGGCGTACTCAGCAAGAACATACAGGAACACTTGGAGTCTACAGCGGCATATTACTTCTCTCACAATTCACTCTCCTCAGCTTGACACATTCTTGGCCAAACTTGAATTTTTACAGGGGTATGCTACTCTGGCAACCACTCTGATTAATCTAACCAACAGATGCTATAACCATATCCACTCAATTTGTCTTATACAACCTTTAATTAATGCTATGACCAATAAAATTTGAAGTAGCAGATGAAGCCAACCTGCAGTATTCATCTCAGTCACGCTCTTCAGGGGCCCAGACAGCTAACTGTGATTTAGTCCCAGGGAAAACCAGCAGGTCTTATTTTAGGCAGGCATGAGGTATGTTAAGGCCAGGATATTATTCATTGCAACCTGCACAGGGAGTTTAAACTGATCTGCTAATGTAGTGTCATCATCAATAATTAAAGGGACAATAGATGAATCAAAAAGCAATCCCTGTCCTTACTGGAGAGCTGTCTCATGGCCCATTTTTCCCCACAAACAAAAATATAATCCAAAGGGCACAAGGCACATCAGTTCAGGGTTTGTTGTAAAACCTGGTTTGTATCATCATCACGTTGATTAAGTCACATGAGCAGTGTCACCAAATAGCTGCAGCTTCAGTTGCCATGTGTGGCATAACACAAGGCCACTCATATCAAAAGCATATGATCCGTCAGGATTTTTTTTTTTTCTTTTTTGGCTAGTCAAGTGAACCTGAGGGAGTGGAGAAGGAACAAAGAAATCTGTAACCGGTTGGGATCAGTTAGTTGTAAATGCTGCACTCGGACCAGGCTGGTCAGTCTGATTGAATCAAAGCTTTGTTGGTCCTTATGTCTGTATACATTTGAATTTGGGAGCTATGGTTCAGGCACAGCAGAATAGTGCAGGGCCGACCATGTCTACATGTGTTTTTCTGTTTTCATAGCACATGGACAGATGACAAACCCAGCAGCAGGTCACACTGTCAGCTGCCATTTGATTCAGGTAGCAGTTTTGGATCAAGAGCAGTGGTTCCAACTGGAGGCAGTTTTGTCCCCCAGGGGACATTTAGTAATGTCTGAAGATACTTTTACTTGTCACAACTAGGAGGAAGGAGCTACTGACGTTTCATGGCTAGAGGCCAGCAGTACTGTAAAATATCCTACAGTGTACAGAACAGCTCCTCAGAACAAATACTGGCCTAAAATACCAATAGTGCCTAGGTTGAGAAACCATAAACTGTGCATTCATTGTACCCCTTCCCTCTCACTCCTAGGGCCTCAAGTGTTTTCTCCCCAGATGCCAGTGTTGTTGTTTTCCCTCCAAAATTGTTACCTATAACAAACTTTTCTCATCATCCCTTCAGTCACCCAGAACATTTTTTCTTTCTTTTTTTTCTTTTTAGAGGCAGGGTCTTACTTTGTCACCCAGGCTGGAGTGCAGTGGCCTCATCATAGCTCACTCCAACCTCAAACTAGTGGGCTCAAGAATTCCTCCTGCCTCAGCTGGAACAGCAACATCATAACCTAAGAATGTGTCAACAGTAGTGAGGCACCATTAGTCGCCCTGAGAGTGGGCCACAGGTCCAGTGTAGTCAATCTGTCAGGAGCAAGTGGGGCCCTGTGTAATATGACCTCATTTACCTCAAGACAAATGGGCTAACTTTTGGCAGGAGTCACAAAGACTGGCATGCGAGAAAGAGTACTGTGTACCTAGTCCATGATAGCAGACGTGTCACCATTGTGGGGACAATCTAGGTGATGTCAACTTAATCAGCAGCTTCTTTCCACTGGGTCTTATCAGAGAACCAGCCCTAGTGTAGTCATCTACATGAGTGACTCAGGTGGTCCAATCAGGAGCCACATTTCCATAGTTACAGCCCTAAAAGGGTGTCTTTACTCTTCCTGTCTTTCAAGCAGACCTGATGGCTAGGCCATTGGCAACGGCCCAAGAGTCAACAGAAATACGTCAAGGTTCATCAAGAGTATTTGCCACATCTATGAGAACCACGCTGAGTTCTGCCCAGCTGAGCAGTGACCATATTCTCCTGCATTCTGCATAGCTGGTGCTGAAGTTGGACAGCAACAGCAACACAATGGATATTCTCTGACTCAGTATTTGTTCTGTAAAATTGGGATTCAGTCAAAAGGCCGCACGCAAGGATCCAGAAGGCTACATGTGGCCCCATGGCTACAGGTTCCCCACCCATCTGTGAAGTAAAGGCACATGGAGCAGCACTTGTGGGTATGCTTCAGGAGATGAAGTGGGAGATAAACAGTTTTCAAGAGTTACTGTTAGCAGCTCATGCAAAATCAGGCTGATGCCGAAACTGCTGCACCCAGAATACACTATTTTTGACCATCAAGGCCTATTTAGTGAGGAATATACCATCTCTAGTATCTCCAATAAGGTGTTGGGCTTTTTTGGTGATGAAAAGTTAAAGAGAGCAGCTGACTGCCAGAGGGAGTAAGCATTGTGGATCCACCCTCCGGTCCCAAGAAACTACTTGGTGAACAGGCCTCTGAATTGTATTGGAGTTCTCAAACACCCCTGTTGGTGGAGGTGTGATGAAACCACAGTCGAGGCCTATGAGATTGAGAATTGTGAGTTCTCAAAAAAATAGGACATCATCCTCTCTTTCATATAGTGAAAACTTTGGACATCAGAGAGTAGAAACACTTAGGTTAACACATACATACACACCCTGGAGGCAAATGCAGGGGAGTTTGTTCCATTAACACTTTCCTAAACATAGCGGTGCTCTGAATAGGAGAATGTCCTCTGAAACTTTGAGTGTTAAGTGCACAATCACGTACACGTCAAGCTCACGTTTAGCAGTGGAAGATGTAACACCAGTACATTAAGTTGGCCCAGAGGGCCTCACACACACATAAAATAATTATTCTATTGATAAAACATTTATTTTATAAATTTTAAAAAACTTTGTCTTCACTGCAAATTTTGCTCAAATCCTATAAGTTGAATTTGGATGCTATTTAGAACAGGCATTGGCAAACTTTTTTCTGTACAAGGCCACGTAATAGATATTTGAGGCTTCTGTGGGCCAAAAGGCAAAACTGAGTATATTATGTAGGCATACAACAAGAGGAAACAAATTTCCCCCAAATTTTTATTAATGAAGTTCAAACTATATTAATAATGGAGTACTTTTTAAAAATAATACAAGTCTGAGAAGAATGGAATTCTTTCTTTTGGAGTGGGGGATAATATTTCACTTATGTAGGATCCAAAGTTAGTGCTTCCCATAATCAAAATCAATTTCAAATTTTCATCTGTGAATGCTGATTTGCAATGAGATTTTACATATTTCATTTTTGAAGATGTCTTTTCACAGATAGGTGACATGTGTGGCCAAAATATTTTGAGTGCCACATCACTGTGATTTGCAGTGTGCTGCGCCTTAATGTCAAGTGGTAAATGCACCACATATGGCCATTGTGGCAATTACTCAACTCTACAGTAGCAGTGTAAAAAGCAGCAGCTGACAATACTTAAATGAGTGTGACTGTGTTCTAGTAAACTTGTGCATACTGAAATTTGACTTTAATATTATTTCACATGTAATAAAATTGTTTTTTTTTTTCAATCCCTATAAAAATGGAAAAACCATTACCAGCTTGCAGGCATTACCAAAATAGAAACTGGCCAGATTTAGTCCATGGGCAGTAATTTGCCAACCTGTCCTAGACTAAGGATTTCCTCACATGGATGGTTAGGGACTCCAACAGCAGCTGCTAGAAGATCATAGGCAAAGTCCCTGATAATGAAAATCAAAGCAAGTGAACAAATGCTAAAAACTGTAATTTAGGACAACTTCACTCCCCTACCCCCCAAAAAAGATTTGAAACTGTAAACTGAAAGAGTATACTGCACACCTAACACTATTTAATCAGAAAAACCACTACCAAGATATATTGTAGTAAAATTATTGGATTTTTAATGAAAATTTTGTTAAAACTTGGGGTCCTCCAGCCAAAACCAAAGACTTATAAGGGAAAAATATTAGATTATCATACTCTTCATTAGCAATACTTTACGCTATAAGAAAAGGAATAGCATATTAAAGATGTGTGAAGAAAGAGTAAGCCAAGGATTTTATATACAGCAAAGGTTGACTTTCAGATATAAAGTACACTGAAAACCTACGTCCAACATGCAAGAATATTATTGCTATGAGGACTTCCGTAGGAATATACCAGAGAACAGACTTCAAACAACCAAAATGACTAGAGAATCATCAACCTAAGGACTGGTGACAGTACGGTTATTGGTAGCACCGAGACTAAATGAAGGCCTAGTGAGATAGTAAGTGGACCCAAGTGCTCCAGCAATGCTGACATAGTGCATCCATAAAAACTAATGGGGCAAGCATATGCCAAGAATATTTTTAAACTGTTCTCAGTAATTATATTGGCGACTTCCTTTTCCACATTCTTCTACATTTAAGACCTGTATCATTACATTAGCCCCACCCATATAATCTAGCACACTCTCCCTAGCAGTTTTTTTCCCCTTTTCACACTAGTATGTACTTTCATTAAAAGTGCAAGTGGTGCTGCTTGATTTACACGTTAAAGAAGCAAAAGCCTTTTTCAAGTGTTGGCTACTCAGGACTAATTCGTGCTTTATCACAAAAGTAATGTTAAAATTGTTAAGTTAAAATTGTTCAAGTGGAATCAACTAAAGAAGTCATCCAGATTCTTAAAATGGGAAATTTAGAATTTGGTTGCGGTTATTTTCAGTACATATGTTGACTGCCTTCAAGTTGGCTCTGGCCGGGGTGCTGTGGCGCAATCACACCCCGCCCACCCAGTGCTAGGATTACAGGCGTGAGCCACTGCACCTGACCCCAAACTGTTTTTTAAAAATAAAACACACATTCTTGGGGCTGGCATAGTTGCTCACACCTGTAATCCTAGCACTCTGGGAGGCCAAGGTGGGAGGATCGCTTGAGCTCAGGAGTTCAAGACTAGCCTGAGCAAAAGAGCAAGATTCTGTCTCTACTAAAAATAGAAAAACTTCAGGTATTGTGGCACACGCCTGTAGTCCCAGGTCCCAGCTACTTGTGAGGCTGATACAGAAGGATCACTTGAGCCCAGGAACCTGAGGTTGTAGTGAGCTGGGATGATGCCACTGCACTCTACCCAGGGTGAGTAGAACAAGACTCTGTCTTCAAAAACCAAAACGTTTTGGAGCATTTTTTGAATGAGCCCTCTAAGATAAAATACTGTGCCAATCAGAGGTGTAGATTAGAGCTTGATTGTCCATTATACCACATCTTACTAAATGATGCTCACCAGCCGAAAGCACGAAGAGGAAAATTGACGTGCCATTTATGTAACTCAATTCCTGGTCCCCACCCCCAATGACCTCTTTTTAGGCCCAAATTCTGTCCACCCTGGGGAGAAAGCCCCTGCCATTTGGGATTCAAGTCTATGTCTAAACTAGCTTTTAGTAGAAAATATTAGGGTATTTGCTTCTTCACTGAGGGACATTAATAGGGAACAATATTCATTCCCTTATTCAAGAAACATTAAACTCCTAGGCACTGAGGATGTAGCAGTGAATCAGACTCTCACCCCCCCCCCCGCCCAAAAAAAAAGCACTGTCCTCATGGAGCATTTCTAGTAGACACAAGTAAACAAAACTGGGAAAAAATAGCAAGGAGTACAGGAGGATAGGGTACAATTTTTAATAGGATGAACCTATCATCAGAGTTTACTGAGGACCCATTAAAACAGAAACTTAAAGGTAGTAAAAGAGGAAGCACTGTGGCCATCTAAGGAAAGAATATTCCAAGCACAGGGAAAACAAGGCCAAAAGATGGTTCAGCTGGAAGAATAGGGGAAGAAGAGTTAAGAGACAACCCAAGGCCAAGATCACACAGGACCTTTGAACTGTCTAAAATAGACTTCCATAAGTCACAGATAGACAGTAACCATCCAAGTTACTATGGTGGCTTGCTTCAAGGTAATAGCTATGGAGTTGGTAAGAACTGGTTAGACTCCAGATGTATTTTCAAACTATGAATAGTCAAGGATAACCAGAAGATTTTAGCCTAAGTAACTGAAAATTTGGGTAAAATTGAGATGAGGAATACCATTTTCTATTCCTTTTTTTTAAGAGACAGGATCTTGGCCAGGCCTGGTGGCTCATGCCTGTAATCCTAGCACTCTGGGAGGCTGAGGTGGGAGGATGGCTCAAGGTCAGGAGTTCAAAAACAGCCTGAGCAAGACCCTGTCTCTACTTAAAAAATAAAATATATATATATATATATATATATAAATTAAATTAGCCAGGTGTGGAGGAACACGCTTATAGTCCCAGCTACTCAGGAGGCTGAGACAGAAGGATCGCTTGAGCCCAGGAGTTTGAGGCTGCTGTGAGCTAGGATAATGCCATGGCACTCTAGCCCGGGCAAACAGAGTGAGACTCTGTTTCAAAAAAAAAAGAGAGACAGGATCTTGCTGTCAGCCAGGCTGGAATGCAGTGGCAGGATCATAGCTCACTGAAGCCTTGAACATCCAGGCGCAAGCAATCCTCAGCCTCTGGAGTAGCTGGGACCACAGGTGCAAGCCACACCTGGCCCCCAGGAATACCATTTTAGAACATTAAATGTTAAAAAGCCTATTTGACATCCAAGTGGGTTATCATGTAGGCAGCTGGATAGACAAACCTAGACATGCCAGAGAAAAATATGGGCTAGAAATATAAAAACCTCCACCAGTTTATTTAAAGCCAAGAAACAATCTAGGTTAGAGTATAGAAATATTCCAACAATCAAGCCCTAGGTCCTCCCAAAACTGATTCAAGGTCTAAGAGAATGACCTATTATGCAGTAAAGGAGCCAGTGAGGCAGGAGGAAAACCTTGAGTTCAGATCTTGGAAGACAGTTAAAGGAAGAAATCAACTGTAAAGCATCACTAGTAAGAGGTCAAGTAAAATGAAGACTGAGAATGGATCACTGGACTCAGCAACAAAATCACCGGTAATTCTGACGACAGCTTTCTTGGAGTGGTCTGGGGAGGAGTCTAACTACAGCAGATTCAAGAAAAGTAAGATGCAAAAATACAAAATAATCTTTTAAACTCCAGGTAAGTAAAATCATACAAAAACACGTAAAAAATCCCTTTGAGCTTGGCTATAAGGTGGCTGAGTGTTCTGGAAGGGTACAGGAGTATTTCAGTTTGTGTGCTGATGCAAGGGACAAGGAAGAGGAATTAATAAAGGTGCAAATTATAGGAGCCAATAACCTGATTAAATAAGATTTGGGATCTAATGCTCAATGGAAAGATTGTCTTGGCACAACTCATCCAGGGACCTGACTGAAGCCAGAAAATTGACAGGGTGGAAGTAATGGAAATATGAGGTTCTTTTCTCATCTAATTTAGTGGTAAATTTATATATCTATCAATTTTGTAGTGCTTAAAGGAAGCAAAATCATCATCAACTAAGCAAGAAATGAGAAATTGGGACATCTGAGGAGAAAAGAGAACACAGAACGGGTGACTGGTGGTGGGCAGCACTAAACACCCACCTGGTAATAGATCAGTAACCAGTTTCTCTTGCCAAATTCAGCTTCACAGTGCAGGGACACAGCAGTATGGTTACATCTAATTTATTTGTTCACTTTATTATATATATAGCTGGAGGCAGAAGATAGTATTTGGATTTTAAAAAAACAAATCAGGCCGGGCGCGGTGGCTTACGCCTGTAATCCTAGCACTCTGGGAGGCCGAGGCAGGCGGATTGCTCAAGGTCAGGAGTTCGAAACCAGCCTGCGCAAGAGCAAGACCTGTCTCTACTATAAATACAAAGAAATTAATTGGCCAACTAATATATATGTGGCGCATGCCTATAGTCCCAGCTACTCTGGAGGCTGAGGCAGGAGGATCGCTTGAGCCTAAGAGTTTGAGGTTGCTGTGAGCTAGGCTGACGCCACAGCACTCACTCTAGCCTGGGCAACAAAGTGAGACTCTGTTTCAAAGAAAAAAAAAAATCAAAAAGCCAATGGGTTCTTGCCTATTACTCAATTTGAGACACTGGTTCTCAAAGTATCTTTGGACCATCAGCATCACTTGTAAACTTGCTAGAAATGCAAACCTTCAGGCCTCACCTAGAACCACTAAATTAGAAACTCTGACGTCAGGGCCCAACAATGTTTTAACAAGCCTTCCAAATAATTTGAGAACCATCAAAATTTTTAAAACGTAGAATAGTTTCCTTTCATTAACCATTTATATAACACTTCCAGATCACTACAGCTTAAAATGGTAAAGAGTATCCCCTTTTTAACTACTTAATAAAATCCACACAAGTCAGAAAAGTTTACCAGCTATCAAATCAGAATATCTGATTCCCGATTGCTGTCAGACTATTTAAAAAGAATGTTCAGAAACAAACCATCACAAATAGGACACTTTATTTGTCATTATTAAAAGTCTGAATTTTAAACAGATTCTTGGACTGGTGGTTCATATCCATCAGCTCGTTCAACTTTAGCGCCTGTCTCATCACCAGTAGCTTTTCCAGAACTACTACCTTCACCATGAAGCTCCATGAGTTTTCCCACTAAAAGGAAGAAAAAACTTTGTTAGTGATAGCACATTGTATCTTGAAACAATGGCCTTTAATACTATGCAGGCATGACAGGAAGGAAAAAAGGCTATCAAACCCCACCCTACTCCCCCCAAAAAACAAAAAATAAAACAAACAAAAAAACCTCCACAATGTTATTTATCCCCACAACTTTTTCTTTCAAGAATCCTGCAATTTCTCACTTACATTCAAACTTGGGCTTCTTCAGCATTTTTACTTTTCTAACGAAGACATCATGGAGAGGATAAATAGATTGGCAAGCCTTTTCTATGTCTTTTCCAATGCTGTCTGGAATCCTAAAAACCATCGGTAATGGGAGATTAGTTTAATAATTTTTTTTAAAAAGTCCTTGTTCTCAGTCATAAGGGGGTAAGCCAATTCCTTTACAGAGAAGCCTGAGAATAAACCTACACACACACCGCTTTACCTCTTAACCCACACAAGTCCTCATGTAAGATGTCTAGCCTTAATGCTTTTTCCATTTACACCCTCTCTTAGCTTATAGTATACTGCATGGGAATATCAGAAAAATGTAACAGTTATCATTGGATATCATCTGGGACCGAAACATTTTTTCATCATTTATGCCCATGCAGTGAATTGTGGAAGGCTTTGTCTATTCAGTGTTATGAACTAATTAAGGCAAAGACATTTCCTATTCCTTCAAGTCTCAATATCTGCTGTGAGACAGCATCATCCAAAAAGAGATAAAGCAAAACCATACCACATTTACTGTGCACTTACACTCACATAAAGGGATAAAGCTAGAAGGATCCATAGACAGGATTTAAACAGAGGTCTGATTCCACCTCATCCAAGGGATCAGATATTCAGGGGTGTATTGCGTGAGGAAGGAAAGAAACACTTACAATTTATTGACTACTTCTTTCAAGTCATTTGTCTGCACCTCTCTGGTCATGATTTCCATCATCTTCTTCCGGATTTGGCGGACCTGTTGGTGCTGAGCATAAGAGGTCTTCCGTATCTGATTGTTGCGCTTTTTAGTAAAACCAACACAGAACAGACGAAGCAAATAACCATCGGTAGTCTTGACATCAACGTGAGCTTCGATCATAGTCTAGGGAAAAAAGATACCGTCAGATATAACAGGTTTTAATGTTAATCAATCTTCTCTCTCAAGTTCTGGTTTTGAAAAGGTGGAATGTCAAATATTCATTATGCAATA